GGCCGAGGGAGCCGCCTGGCAGGGTCTAGGTCACATAGTGGCTGGGGTGCCCCTCGCTTGCACCGCCGCCTCCATAGCTGGGAGCCAGTGCCCGGAGCTCCCTGCGGCCACCCAGGCCCCCTGGGAATAGAGCCTGTTTTGTTTTCCTCTCCCTTATCCGTTAATAATGGGATTAAAAGCAGGTTGTTGCCGAGGAGATAGGCTAGCTTTAAAAAAAGAAACAACCCCAGAACATCTTAAGAGCATGAAAATCTTCAGCCATCAGCACTTTTTATTTAGCCCTGAATTCATGAATTTTTACCAAACAAACAGAGGCACGCTAGGTATTAATATACAGACGATTATGCAAAACCACTATTACGGCTGATGAAAATTAGATCCTGACTCTGTGGTGGCGTTCCAGGAGGGAGGCTCCTCCCTTTTCCAGCGCTGTGACCTCAGATTGCCATTGCCATGGTAACTGGACTGCCGTGGGAATCTGTGGACAGGAGACTGGTTCTGTCCAGGGGCGGGGGCAAAGCCAGGCTGACTTGGTGAGGACCTGCAGGCCCCCATTTGGGCCATCCAGGGGCATTTGGTCCCTGGGGTGGAGGTCAGCCTAGAGCCTTGGGGAGAGGGGTCCAGTTCCCACTGGGAGGGGCAGGGTGAGAGCAGCAAGCACCTAGTCCCCCAGCTCCCCCACACCCTCACTCCCCGCTAGACTGCCCCTCCAAGAGACAGCCCTGTCATCCTCCGGTTAGCATTAGTCGGGCATTTACTGCATGCTAGACCTGTGCTAGGTGCTGGGGACACAGCAGGGACGGGTCCCTGAGCTCCTGGAGCCCACATCTCAGAGCAGGGGACAGATGGTAGACAGGCAAACAGACACGAGATGGGTCATTTCAGAGCCTGCAAGTGCCACAAAGGCAGCAGGGCAGGGAAGTGACCAGAAAGGACTGAAGTGGGGGTCCCTCTACCTGGGTGGTCAGAGGAGGCCTTACTGGGAAGACACGAAAGACCAGAGGGGAGGGAGCCCAGGAAAGGCAGAGACAAGCCCTTTCCGGGTAAGAGGCAGAAGGCTCGGTGCAGGGTGGCCAGGTAAGATACAGGATGCCCGGGTACGTTTGAATTGCACAAACACCACGAATCATTTATGTGTAAGTACTTCCCACACGGTCTTTGGGCTATACTTACACTAAGAAGTTATCTGTTGCTTATCTGAAACTCCCCTTCAATTGAGCATCCTGTACTCTGCTAAACCCTGCAACCCTGTCAGAGAAGGAAGTTGCCCTGCCCAAGTCATGAGCAGGAGATGCGGCCATACCATGCTCATCAGCCCCAGGCCCTGCCCTGACCTCCCGGATGCTGAGTGAGGTCTCTCCCTGACGGATCGCTGCATGAGAGTCTCGTGCTTGTCTTGCAATCCCTTCTCCCCCTGAGCCCAGTGGTGAGGCTGGGAGGAATCTGGGTGAGCACCATCTGATGCCACTCTGCGGTGGCTCCCAGGTCTGCAGGGAGACCCGTAGGGCCCCGCAAACATGGTCCTCACCCAGTGCCCACAGGGACGTCACCAACTGGCCTCGCTGTCCCGCTCCACCTTCCCCTCCTTCCTGCCTCGAAAGGCTCTTTCACCTTCACTCGGCAGGATCTTCTCGGCCTTCAGGCCTCAGCTCAGAGGCCGCTGTCTAGAGAAACTGCCCGCTCCAGGGTCCCCCCAGGACTCTAAGCCCCTCACTTGTCTTTCAGCTGGCCATGTGCACACTGTTACACTGGAGCGGACGTAACAGCCTCCTCTGCCTCTGCCATTCTAGAGGTGAAGCTCAGCGGCACTGAGTACATTCGCACATTTGGAAACCGGGGAATAATCAAAGTTGCTTTAAGTTGCTAAATTTGGGTGATTTGTTACACAGCCACAAACCAACACAAGTACATTCTGTGCTGTGCTCTGACATCATGTCCTAGATTCTACGAAATTCCTAGAACAGCAAAATTAATCAGTGAGAGGAAAAACGAAAACAAAACGCTTCAGGAGAGTGGGCGCCTTCTGGGGAGGGGGCAGAATCCATGAGATGAGCAGGAGGGAACGTTCTGTGGCAATGATTAGGAAGTCCTTAATGATGTGCGCGCACGCGCGTGTGTATGCGTGTGTATGCATGTGTGTGTGAGACACAGATACACGCGTTTGCCAGAAGTCAGCAGGTGACTTTCAGGATTTGTGACCTCAGAAACGGTAACTACGGAAGCTCTGGGGGAGTGTACCGAAGTCTTCGATTTCCTTTGGAATGCACTGGTGGGTTACATACCCGTGGCTTTATTTCTGGGCTCTCCAGGGAACCAGAGGGTAGACAGTAAGATAAGATAAAGCAGGTCCGACGGAGTGTAAGTGATCGAACTCTAGGCGCCGGGCATGTGGGTGTTCATTAAAGATCGTTTCTGCTTTTCTGTGGGAAATTTTCATCATTTAAACATGCATTTTTAAAATCTAGAAAGTCACATTTATTTATTTATTTATTAGTTGTGATTTTCAAGCCCCCAGGTCCAGGACTTGAACTGCAATCAGCCATATGGGAATCCACTGCCTTAACTATCACTTAGGGCCACCTGCTGGCCTGAAGCTTTCATAATTTGATATTAGAAAAAAAGCCACTGAATTCACAAATAGCCACAGAATAGTTTAATGGGAAGTATTAGAATAGAGTTTGGTTCAAGTAGTAATTCTAATGAAGCTTTGCTATGTGCTAGGCGCCTGACGGGGCTTCTCCATGGGTAGGGGCCTCTCCACGAGGCAGCAGCTGTGGGTCTCAATTTACAGATGAGGAGACTGAGCCCCACGGAGACTGGCTGATCCAGGTCACACAGCAGGGGAAAGGTAGAGTTGAGATTTCCCTGCATCCGAGCGCTTGGGGATTTGAGCTGTGTTAACCTAGAGGTGTCGTTTCCCTCCGTGACTCAGTTTCTCAACCCGAAATGGAGACACAAACCACCAAGGAGGTGGAATTAGGCTCTGGCAGCTACGATATTCCTCGAGGGCTCGCTCTGTGCAGGCCCCAAGTCCCTGTGCCAGTCATAGGAGGTGCCGTGGTCCCGAGGCAGGGAAGCTTCTCTGGGGTCCTCACTCCCCTTGGTCTTATTACGCACCCAGAGGCGACCCTGCCTCTCAGCACCCCGTGCTGCAATCTGCCCTTTCCCGAGGAAGGAGGCCGGTGATCCACCTGCGGCCTTGGCCCAAGCGGAAAGCCTCAAGCCTCTGGTTCTAAAGTGTGGGTAGGGCTCAGTGAGCTGCTCCCTAAGTGTACTAGCCCCTGCAAAAATGCCTCGTGATCCCGCACTTTGGCCTCTTCAGAGAAGGAAGAGAGGCGGAGGGAATAGCCCACAGCACTCCTGCCCCCAGCCTCTGCCCGGACTGTTCTCACCACAGGAGTCCCTTTCTCTGACTCCACCGCCACCCAAATAGTGTTAGGTGCTACATGTCCCACGAGCTTCTTCAGGTGCGGACAAAATCGGATTCACCTTGAATCTCCCTGGCTGGGCCCAGCGCACCGAGGACTGTGGAAGGAAGACACCGATGCAGGGCAGGTGGGACTGGGGTCTCCTTGTGTGTTCTCAGTGTGCCTGGGACTTCACGCTTTGTCTCATGTCAGCCTGGCAACGTGGATGACATCATTGTCCCTTCTGTGGACGAGGCTCAGGGAGGTGAGGGGTCCTGTCCAGAGCTCTCCACTGGATCCAGCCCTGCTCAGCCTGAAGAAATGACCCTGTTCTTTCCAGCTGGTTCCACGGGTATTAAGAGAACATGAGTGAACACAAACGACCTCCAACAGTTGTGAGAATCAAAATGGAGTCGTTCGTGTCCCTGTGTTAAATCCTGACCAAACCAAGCAGGGAGGGCTGTGGAGGAGGTGTTTTCTCATGCTAGCGGGCCTGACAATGAGGACTGTGATTTAGAGAACTCTCTCAGAACCAGAGCCCCACACAAAGACCACTGCGGCCCAGTTTGAGGACATGGTGCAAAGGCATCTGCCCGGAGACTGTCCAACCCTCACTGACACCACCCCGGGGACTGACCCTCCTGCACAAGGACAGCCATCCCCAGCAACTGTCAGAATCTTATATTTTCCTCCTCTCCCACTTGCAAATTTTGCCTTTAAAATCTGCAGAGGGGGGCCAGTAGGTGGATAAGGCACTGGATCCCACATGGCCAACCATGTGGTTCAAATCTCGGATGCAGCGACTTGAAAAACATACCAGGCATGGACATGTGCAGGCCCGAAACCCTGAGGGATGAATGGAGAAGAGTGGATTGCAGTGTGGCTGACCCTCAGGGGTGATATCTCTCTCTCTCTGTCTCTGCCTCTCTCTCTGGTGAGTGCATGTGACCTATGGCGAAAATCTAACACACACAAAACCCTACATGAGGACTTAAGAGCTCAGGGCATGTGTTTGGGCCAACCTGAGTACGCCCACCCGGGCCGCGAGCCTGGCCTGCAGTGCTCAGACAGGGCCTGAATACCTTCTTTCCCGTCCATTGGCCTTAGTTTGTCTTTCAAGTCGACATATGCTCCCCAGGCATCTGTGGGCCTCTGAGTGTCCGTGACCACAAATGCAGGGACTGACCTGGGTTCGCCACTTCCTCACTGCTCTTTAACCCTACAAGTCCAGGGCTCTACTCAGAAAGGGGGTGATCAGAGGAGGCCTGTGCGGAGGAGGCGGGGCTTTTCTCTGGCCGCAGTAGATTGCCCTCGAGGCGGGAGGGCTGGTCAGACCTCAGGGAGTGTGAGACTTGCCAGGGAGGCCCTGGGCTGCGCCCAGTCCCCAAGGACTGCCTTCTGTAGCGGTGGCTCTGGGGCCTGACCTAGCCCTCAGCCGGCCTGCTCTTCCTGCTGGGATTTATGTCCCCAGCGCTGGAGCGAGAGGGGAGGCGATGATGGGTTTCTAAGTGGCACTTTGTTTCCTGAGAACCTGGCCTCCGGGTGGCCGTGGAGCGAATGCTGAGCAGGCTCAATCCAGTAACTGCGCCAGCGTCCCGCAGTGCCAGCAGCTTCTCTGCTCCGCTCAGCTGAGTGCTTCTTGGAGGGAGGCCAGGGACAGCCGGGTGGCCGCCTCCCGCCACCTCCTCTCCCCGCAGTCCCCACGGGTACAGCATCTGTGTGGACATTTTATTTGGGGTGAGCAGGGGTTGGGCCCAGGATGGCATGGGGTGGGGTGAGGGGACACAGCATTGCAGAACAAGGTACAGACTTCTCGCCCTGTCATTCAGGTCTCCCCCACCAGGCTGAGCCCTGCCCCTTAGCACTCCTCTTCCTCCTGCTGTGTGCTGTGGTGGGGGCAGCCCTGGCCTGGTCTGGCCGGCACTGCCCGGCCTGCGTGCCCTATCTTCCCCAGCACCCCCAGCACTCGGGCTCTCCCGGGATAAGGTCGGGTGGCCTCCTGCGAGCCTGAGTTCCCTGAGACTGTCTCGGTCCGTGGGGGCTGCTGTCACGACATGCACGGGCCGCGGGCTGCCACAGCAGACGCCTGCTTTGCACAGTTGGTCCGGGGAGGTCCCTCTCCCTCTAGCAGATGGCGCCTTCCCGCTGTCCTCACGTGTCCTTCCACGTTCCACGGTGGGGGGCGGGCGAGGGAGAGAGCACGAGCACCCAGGTCTCTCTCCTCTCCCCACAGGGACTAACCCATGAGGGCTTCCACCCGTGACCTCATCTAAGCCTGATCACCTCCCAAAGGCCCCGCCGCTGAGGCCCATCACACTGGGAGACTGGGGGGCTAGAAGGGCGTCATGGTCCACAGCAGGCGGACCTCGACGTCCTCAGGGCCAGGGCCGGGGCGTTGGTGCGTGAGGCTCTCAGAGCCTGGAGTGTGACCACGGAGGCTGGCAGGGAGGTAGGGAAGGCACTGGGTGTCACCGAGGGGTCTCCAGAGAAGCAGGATGGAAACACGCACATACACACGTGTATGAGAAAGGGACACGCACACGTAGAGGGAGCTGGCTCACATGGCATGGGGTTGGTACATCCTATGTGCAGGGCAGGGCCAGCTGGAACCCCAGGCAGAAGTTCTATGTCAGGTGGGTCATACTCCAGGAGAACCTTCAACTGATGAGGCAAGGCCCGCCCCACCATCCGGGTGAGCCCCTTCACTTGTCAGCAGCTGCAGATGGTTGCAATCACACCCACCAGATATCCTCCCAGCGACATCCAGACCAGTGCCTGATCAAACCACTGGGCACTGTAGCCCAGTCACATCGATGCCTGATCAGTAGCTGGAACTGGGATAAATCCCAGCCCGCCTTTGCTGGCAGTGGCTGATCGCTGCACTCACTGGCTGCTCGGCTTCTCACCCTCGTCTCTCTGTGCTGCGAGATCAGAAGAGGACAAGGAAGACGTGTGTGTCAGGTTCCCAGCAGGGGCCCGGACGCCCGTCCTTTGGCCTATGTGGTGTCACCTCAGACCTTGTCCCGGGAAGGCCGCCAGTTGCAGAGAGGCAGCACTGGCTGGGAGGACGCCTATATGCAGTGATTAGAGGTCTGACCGCCTCCCGATGACATGTTTGCACAGTGGGCGGCTGAGGACTCCTGCGACCGCCAAGCAAGGTGTCATTAAGGGCCGTGGAAGTGAGGTTTTCTAGCACAGGGTAGGCCTCATTCCTGCCAGCTCTGGGCCCCATGCCCACATCCAGAACATGCCTGGTCCCTGGCCAGGCGAGGCTGGGCCACCTTCTAGCATCTCACCTGCTCCAACCCGGGGTGAGGCCTGCCTGGTTCTCGGCATCCAGTGCTCTGAACCGCGTGGTCCCCAGGCCAGGCATAGCTCCACCCAGCTCTGAAACCTCAGCCCGAGTGCGCCATCACCTGAGTAACCACAGCCCCTGTTCTCAGGCCCATGCAGCCATCATCCTCTTGCCCGGGGTTGCCGATGTGTGTACCTGTGTCCCTGACTCCCTGGGGACTTGGTGCGAGAAGGCTGAGTCATCTAGAACTCCATGGCCAGCACTGGGATGCACCAGAGGTGGCAGGAAGAGAAGGCAGATCTGTCTCAGCATGATTTTCCCTTTGCTCCCCTTTATGAAGGTGATGGGAAGAGAGAGAGGCATTTTTGACAGGGTCTCACCCCGTCATGATCCTCCCCAGCCACCCAATAAGCTAGGATTGCAGGAGCACACAGCTGTGCCCAGGGTGCTCAGGTTGACCTGGGACCCTAAACTGGGTGCTATCTGGCCATTGCAACATTAGACTACCATCTGCAATGCCATTGGACCCCTCGGGCTCCGTGACCTGACCTGAGAGCCAGGCCGGATACACCCCTTGACGTCCCTAGCCCTGCAGAGCTGCTGTGTGCAAGGCGCACCTGAGGGACACCAACAGGGCAGACCGTGTCCTGGGTGAGTACCGCCAGCTGCTACAGCAGGTGCACCCAAGGCCCTGGTGGTTTCTCCTGCTCACGGATCGTCCGAAATCATGGGCCGCTGTCCTTTAGGCGGTTAGGGAATCAGGCATAGCTATCTGGTGCCTCTTCTATCTTCACTCTGAGGCTTCCAAGGTCACCGAAGAAGGGGAAAGGCAGAGTATAATGTGGGAGAGTTTCCTGGCCCAGGCCCAGTCCACCACGTCCCACTGGATAGACGCAGACATGTGGCCCCACTCAGCTGCGTGGGAGGCTGCGTATGTGGTCCAGTGTGAGGGGAAAGGAGCGGGCCGGCCCCACCGTGCAGCAGTCATGCAATGCTCGGGAGAAGCTGCGTCCCTCGTAAAGACCCACGCTTGAATCCTAGGCCTGGTCAACCTGAAACATGCTGGGCAGGTGCCCAAGATCCAGCGCGCTGGAGGGCTGGAGAAAGGGATCGCAGCAGCACCAACCCTGCGGAGGGTGTTTCTCCTCTGTCTCACTTCTGTGTGTGCACGAATAGACTCCACCATGAATACATTTTAAAAAATGGTTTAGTAATAATGAGATCGATTCTGCTATAGTCAGACCTTATGGGGGACAAAAGCCCTCTGCTATGAAACACCACAAACGTAGGCTAAGTTACCACAAACATTTTATTCAATGCAGAGCTGAGTTTGCAAGGACGCAAGGGAAATTTCTGAGTCCCAGGAGCGAAGAGGAAGCCGACATCAGACTAGGGAGCCGGTGCTGACCTCTGCATGCCCGAGGCACTTGCCCACAGCAGGAGCTAGGACTTGGGTTCAAGGCTTACAGGGGTTAGGTGACACTGGCTTCTCTTGAGCTTCTCTTCTCCTAGCTTCTCCCAGAGAGGGTGGGAGTGGGAAGTGAGACCCGCATCTGAAGCTGGGACCCTCAAAGGCTGTACCTTCAGTTTAACAATGGGCTATTAAGAAAATAACACTGTCCTGGCCTCTGCAATAAATGAGGATTTGAAGATTCCTTCCTGAGAAGAGGACAACCTGGGCTGAGTTCCACATAAGATTGGGGCTCACACTTAAAAGCTGAGTGGTCCAGAGAACCCCAAGCCAAGAAAGGGGCCTCAGGAGGAGCTGGGTAGGTAGACCCGGGCTCAGGCTGTGAACGTCACCTGGCTCATATCTCAGCGCAAAGCACAGGAGAAAGCCCAGGGAGCCAGAGTTGGGGAAGCCGCCCGCGCACAGCGAGATCAGAAGACGTGTCTGCACTACCAGAACCGAAGCAGTTAAACATGTAAAGCAATGAGAATATTGAGAACACAGGCATGCAAAAACAGACCACGAGAACGATCAGAGGGGTACGGAGAAGAGCCAAGTAGAACTTCCAGAAATGAAAAACGTCCTAACCGACGTGGGAGACTCAGCGCGGGCTGAACGGCAAAT